TTATGTAGGCCAAATAATATAATAACAAAATATTATATCAACTTTAATAATAACAATAAACAATATTATTAAAATATACAATAAAAATAGCAAATATATTAATTATACATATAAAATAGATTTGAGTGGGACTAGTAAAACTTCTAAGCTGTCAAAAGATGCTCTTATTGTACAAAATATTAACAAAAGATTTTTTCCTGTTCCATTCAAAACACCCTTGGGGGAAAACCACACCACTACCAGGTGAAATACATCAGAGAAATTAATTTTATAATTAAAATACTCATCCTACCTTCTTCATCTTCAAAAGTCAGCAGTGCCTGGTTCTGATTGAGTCTGAAGGGGACTTTGGTGGCTGCCCCAAAAACACAGTGGGTGTCCATAGCCATCTTTGCCCCATCATCCTTCATCTCTTTCAGGTGAGTGAACTTCAATTTCATTTCTGCCACCTTCTTTTTAATCTCCAACTTTAGAATTAACACAAGAAAAAGAAAACTTGAAAATTACCAATGCTATGAATGGTTTTGATTCCACTGCCTTCCATGTAATCAGTGTCTGCTTTTTTTCCATTCCTCTCACACTTTCAGTACTTCTTGGATTTATTTACATATCTGCCTGCTTCAAACATCAGGGAAAATAAGCAACTTTCAGGTTTATTTAATATTGAAATTAGTAGAGGTTGAAATGCTGAACAGGTGGCCCCAAAAGCCTTTAAGAGGGACAGATTCTGAGGTTCCTCAGAGCAGCTGGGGCTGCCCCTGGATTCCTGGAATGTCCCAGGCCAGCTTGGACAGGGCTTGGAGCAGCCTGGGACAGTGGAAGGTGTCCCTGGGGTTGGAATGAGATGGGATTTAAGGTCACTTCCAACCCAAATCATTCTCTGAAAATAAAACTCTGCCCTTCTAAAAGACCAATTTCCAAATATTCCACCCCCTTTACCGGATTATCCTGGGAACTGTGTTCTTCCAGGTCTTCTTTGAGCTTTTCAATCTCTTTTTTCAGCTCAGTGTTTTCTTGCCTTAGCAGCAAGAGTTCCCGCTACAGTCCAAAAAGATAAAATACAAAATAAAACACTGAGATAAAGACAGAAATATATTTCAGCAACATGTGGGCAGTTTCTGCCACGCTGCTGCTCTTCCCTCTTCATGTCCTTCTTCCTCCTCCTGTCTGCTCCCTAATTCCTCCAGAACGAGGAATCCTGCTTGGACACCGAGTTCTGTGAGCAAATCCAGGATTTCCTGGCCTGGGAATGTCAGAGGATGAGAAGGAAACGGAGCAGATGTTGTCAGCTCCAGCCAGCCACAATGGGAAGTCAGCAACCACTTGGACCACTTCCCATCAGCTGAAGGCCAAAGCCTGATGATGATAACGACCCTTCCTGGGTAAAAATCCAAACTTTTGTGATTAAAAAACCAAAATCAGCTTTCAGAAAACCTCTCCCCAGCCTGAGTGTGTTTAAGCTATTAATTATATCGTAATAGCTTGAAGCCAGAATTTCTCATCAGTGAATTGCCAAAGCTCACTGGAAGCACCTCCTTGCCAGCCTGTGGAACCTTCTGCTGCTCCTGCACATGGAATATTGAGGGATTGAACCAAGAGGTTCTGGAACCAAGCAGCTCTAGAAGGAAAATCCCTCTTCAGTCAGGCCCTGGCTCTTGCCCAGCTCACTGGCACCTAAGAAATGCTGATCCTTTGGGTGCTGTGACCTCTCATAGAACAGGGAGTTGGCAAAGCAGTGGAATCACCCCACTGGGCTTTATCCCCTTCACCCAGAGCTGAAACTCATCAGTAGGGGAGAATTTTGGAAGAAGAAAGTTGGTTTTGTCAGGTTTCATCCCAAAACAGATTCAGTTTATTGCACTGTCTCTTTGCCTGCCAGTGAAAAACTAAAGTGCAGCAAAAAATGTGGGGAACATCCGACCACTAACACAGGTAAAGCCACTGAAAGTGGGAATTTTCTTCCCATTTTCCCAACCCACAGCTCCTTCCCAACCCTCCAAACTCCACCAGCCCTCTCCATACCTCCCAGCTGATAATTCTGTCCCTACGCTGCTTCTCCTGCTCCCTCAGCTCTGTCAGCTTCTTCTCTGCACTGTCAGCAGCACTTAATTTGGAGAGAAGGTCAACTTTGACAGTTTCAGCCTCTTTCACTCTGTTCTGGAGAGCAAAAACAAGATTTTACATTTTTTAAAGTTTTCTTTCTAGAGGAACAGACAAAAGTTTGGGTAAGCCCTTTGTATGTATTGATTTTTAACACTTTGGGTAAATATTAAACTTAAATGAGTGTGATCAACACAAGTACAATGCACTGAAGAACAGAACAAATTAAAGATGTTATAAATGTGGGGCATTTGATCTGCATTTAGAAGGATGCACCAATCTTTATCTTTTAGCAAATTTCCACAATTCCATGTGCTTTACAGAACTTGCCTTCCACATCCTCAGCTCTTCCCTAAGTTTTTCCATCTCTTCCTCGGATGTCCTTGGATCAGGGGGTACCAAGCTCTGCAGAGAGAAGAGGAACACATTGATTTTCTCCTCTGTTGGGCAACAACTGAGACACCCCAAACAATTCTAAAACAATCTTTAAAAAAGTTAAAAGTTTAACCAAAAAAAAAAAAAAAACCAAAAAAAAACCAACATCATTCATTTAGGTCAAACAGTTGAATTATTTTAATGGCTGGACAGGACAAAAATCTAGGAAAATGTGAATTACTGGCCAGCCATTATTATTTGTTAATTATCCAACTGCTAAAATGCACAGGGTAATATTTAGCTAAAAAATAAATCAAGTTGTCTCCATGTTCTTCCACACAGAACTAAGCCCCCCAAAGCCACAAATGTTTAGCTCTGTGCTTTCTCAGCAGCTCCTCCAGGAGGTGTCAATAAAAAAAAAATAAAAGTAAAAATGGGATTTTGATCTTCCAAGCTCAGGGAGAATGGATAATAAAAGATAATATCAAGGAAGGTGATAAAAGACCCATTTCAGAATTGAAATTCAGGGCACAATTCATAAGGGCAGGGAAATTACAAAGCCCAAAGAGAGAGAAAATCTCTGTTCTGTTTTGTTTCTATGTCTGCAGTATTGTGCAGGAAAAAAAAAAAAATCCAAAAAGATCTGCTGAAATATTCCCTCCCTTTTTACTCAAGATTACACAAAGCTTGAATGGGAACCATGAAATTTAGGCATGGAAAGGGTCTAAATTAGATAATCCATGGAAAAGATCTGAATGAGATGATCTTGTCAGTTCTCTTGGTAATGCTGGGTATTTCCTAAAAATCATAAAATATAAAGTGTTTCTTCCAGTTTCAAATTAAGCAAAGGGGAAATACCCATCTGTGTCTTAGTTACAATGGGAAAATATTCCTTCACTCCAGGGATTGAGTGCAGGGAATAAAAAGGATACATGTGCCAACAGCTGGAAGAGAATAAGAAAAAGGATGCCTGTTCTTTTCTAAAAAAAAAATGGTTTGACACGACAGTTTTCATCCTGAAAGAAGGAAAAAAATAACCAAGAAAACACAAGAAACCCCAGGGATAGTCCCATCCAAACCACTTGTGCACTGCTGGAGCTGAATCCCAGGAGAAGGGAAATTCCCTGGAAATCCTCCACAAAGACAGATGAGCAAGAGAGGCAGGACAGAAAGTTCTGCGAGGATCTGGGATGCAGAATCCTGGGAATGGGATTCTCCCTATGGAAACAGCAGGTGGAAATGAGGGATGTCCCAAGTCTTAAAAGAGTGGAAGAAGGCGAGACAAGCAGAAGCAGTTTTCTGTCAGAGATACAAGAGTCAAATACAGATTTTACTCCCAGGCAGCACACCGGGGAATACTTACAAACCCATTGTCTTGTAGAGATAATGGGGGGCTTGTCACATCCATGGAAACCTAAGAGGAGACAAAAAAAATGACAACATTGTGTGTATTGTTTGGGGATGTTTTTATGCAATAAAATATCAGGAATACCAGAAGCTGTGGTGAAAGAGTTTTTAAACATAAATTTATAATTCCATAAGCAAAAGCGACAGATATTGGGTATCTGAAGCCTCCTTCCTTATAAGGAAATAAAAGCCAGAGACAGATGTGAGGAATTCTGCAGTGCACAACTCAACTTTGTTGTTCTGGTAGTTGTGTATTTACCTTTATGCTATTTTTGTGCTGCTACACACACGGCAAGAGTGAGTTCTGTGCTTGAGAGCCTGGAGAAAAGGAGACCTCAGAGAGAGCCTGAAGGGCTCCAGGAGAGCTGGAGGGGAACTGGGGACAAGGGATGAGAGGACAGGACACAGGGAGTTGGCTTCGGACTTGAAAAGAGATTTGGGTGGGATATTGGGAAGGAATTCCAGCTGGGAGGGTGAGGAGGAGCTGGAATGGATTTCCAGAGAAGCTGTGGCTGTTCCTGGATCCCTGGCAGTGCCCAAGCAGATCATTTAAAATTCGTAATTCATTGCCACAGCATTTTGTGGACAACAAAAAGGAATTTTGTGGACAGATAAAAAGGAATTTGGGGGAGCTTCCAGGCCACTGATGCCAAGGTCAGTGCAAAGGCTCCCAAGCCAATCTGTGGCTGTTGGGGTGAGGTTTGATCCTCTAAGGTTTAGGGTGGATATTCCACAGGTCTGACACTGTCTGGACCAGGAAATCCCAGCAGGAGCAGCCCAAATTCCCGACCCATCCGGGCAGTTCTGGGAATCCTCACCTCGATTCTAAGCCGACACCACCTTCACTCAAGAGTGAGAAAAACTGAGGTTGTGGGTCCCGGAATCGTTTTATTCAGAAGTTTCGTTACAGTTCCCTGGGAAAAAAAAAATTAAAAAATTTTAAAATATTAAAAAAGAGAGAGAGAGAAAGTAAAAGCATAAATGAACAATAGCTGGCCTTGGTTTACCCGGACACCTCCGGAGCCTCCCGGGGCCGCCTTTCGCTTTCGCTTCCGCGGGCAGGAGGGAGGGACGGCCCGGGCTCGGCCCCTCACACCGCGGGCGTACCCCGGTGCCTCCCGCCGTGTGTGTCCCGGTGGGCTGAGGGAGGAGATGCTGTCCCACCCCCCTCACAGCCGAGCCCTGATGAGGCTGATGGATACAAAGGTGCAGAAAACGGGAAAATGCCGGGAAAAGGCGGGGAAAGGGCGCCGGGGCAGCGCCCTCAGGGCGGGCGTGAGGGCGGCGCTCGCCTCACGGCGGAGCCGCTGCGAGCCCGTCCTGGGGAAATCAATGATTCCAACTCTGCTAAATTTGTGCTTTTATTGACTTGTCATTCTCTAGAATTACGTGGTGTGTTATAAGGAATAGGGTTTCCTTCTGTGGCAAAAAGCAGCCCGGACGAAAAGAGCGCTTGCGGATGGGGATGCCGCGTTCCGAGAAATTAATGTGTAGAATAATTCTGGAGAGCCGAGTGTCGGCTTGTCACAGAAATGTGACCTCTAAAGAGGTTTCTGGGGAAAATAAACCCAGATTTCAGTGTTGAGGAAGAGAAAACACTGGGTTTTCATCCGAGGGAGGGAAAAAGGCTGGAGAGGGGTTTTGAATAAGGGATGGAGGGACAGGACCAGCCCAGAATTGGGAATTCCTGGCTGGAATTCCGTGTCGTGGTTTGACACGGTAAAAAGAATATTCTCAGAAGAAAGAGGTCAATTTAGATATTGACACTCAAAGTGACCAATTAAAGGTAGACACGCCTCTGAGAACACAGGTTAAAAGCAGGATTCCAATGAGAACTTTCTATCTTTAGTTCCAGTCAGAGTGCAGTACAGCTGCAGTAGTAGCTGTGATCCCTGAAAGTCTATAATGCAAGGGAGAATCCTCTCTCCCCTAATAAACTTAATATTAATTACATTAGGAGATAAATACTTAATTAAAGATCCAAATGTGTCTCACTGTAATTTGTTAAAGTTGGGTAGTGAGTATTTTAATTTTAAATTTATGTGTTTTCCTTTCTTTTTTTTTTTCCTTCATAGTAATGTAGTAGTAGTAGCTTAATAAAGTTTTTTTTCCCCCTTATTATTAAACTTAAGCTTTACTCTCTTCCCAGTCGCATTTCACAGCATTCAATTAAAACATTATATTTTCATGAGGGCACTGGCATTATGCCAGTGTCAAACCATGACAACTGGAATTCCCAGAGCAGCTGTGGCTGCCCCTGGATCCCTGGCAGTGCCCAAGGCCAGGCTGGAGCAGCCTGGGACAGTGGAAGGTGTCTCTGCCATGGCAAGGGTGGAATGGGATCTTTAAGTCCTTTCCAATCCAAACCATTCCGTGATTCCACATGGATAACTAAAGGAAAGAATCCATATCCTAGACTAAGAAGAATGAAGTATATTACTTTCAGATTTCCTTTCAAACTAAGCTGACGGATCTTTAATGCTCCCCTCAAAATTGCAAACAGACTTGTACTCATTGGCCAAAGGATTTTGTCTGGGTTGCAGTCAAACGGCGCTGACTGTTCGCGGCATTAATCCTCAAAAATTCAAAATATGCCAGATAGTTGGGGAAAGTGTAAACGCTGACTTTGTCACTTTGCAGATGTGGACTCTACTTTTGGAGGAAAAGCAGACGGAGCTGGATAACAGCAAATCTCTGTGGTGGAACTGGTCGGGCTCTGTGAGCACACTCGAGGAGGTCTGGGCTGGAGCAGCCAGATTAAAGGTTTCAGAATTTCTGTTTTCACTGGCTCCACAAAGGGGATCTTGGATTGCCCCCTGCTTGGATAGAGATCACTGAATGCACTGGGAGTTTTACTCACATCGTGATTGTTACGGCAGCTTCCAAAGTCCTTATCTGTTTTTCCAGATAAGTGGATGAAAATCTGACCCTGTGTTTGAGGGTTTATTATTATTGTTTTTATTATTATTTTCTGCCTTGACAATGGCTGACAATGTTTACTATTGCTTTATAAACACAAAGATGGTTACCAATGAGTAAAAGGGAGAGGTTTGCTGGAGTAGCCAGGGAGGAGGAGGTGGTTCTGTTATGACCTAAGCCCTGCAGATTTTCACATTCAAATGTCAGAGTGGTGGGCTGCTCTCCAGTGACCGTGGTCATGTTGGGATCTGAAGGAGCTTTATTTCCCCAAGCTCCAAGGAACGAGCAACGTCAGCCTGGTTACACGGCCAGCTTTGGGATTTGAGCTGAACAATGTGTTTGTTCTTGTTTGGTAAAGGGAATTTATTGGAGATGCTGACCTGGGCCAAGTTCCTTAGCTGAAATGGGGTTGACTTGGAGTTGACATCTTAGTGCATGTCTGGATGTTGTGGATTTATGGTGTTAGCCTCATGTCAAGTGGAGTAAAGGGAAAAGTGTGGATTTCATAACTCTGAGGAGTTTCGCTAAAGGGGAAAATGGAGGAGTAAAATACAGCGTGGAGTACAAGAAGCTTCACAGCTCTCTGAGCTGCCTGCATTGATTCCAAACGTGCTCTTCGGGAGCCTGAAAAACTCTGGACGAGCCCAGGAACTGGAAACTTGAAAAGAAAATCATGATCAGGACTCATCTGCAGCAAGAAATATTCTGAATAAGCTGGAGGAAGTTTCACAGCCATAAGGTAGTACCAAAACTGTTTGACCATAGCTTAGTTAAGAATCTCATGGAGTTACCTTCAGAGGGAGAAAATTTGGGTTCTTTTAAAGTTACAACAAATTCAAAGGGGAAAGCAAATGGAAATTAGATGCCTGGGGATTGGTGTCTTCTCTGCTCATCTCCAGGATTATCAGAGTCGGGAAAATGGGCCTTTTGTAGTTTGTGGTGCTTTTGTATTTTATTAGTACCTGGGAAAAAGGAAATCAATTTCCAGGTTCTTCTTTAGGGAGCTGCATGTTGTCCCACAGGCAGGACACAATCGTGGTGACTGCTGCACCACCTCCCATCCTCAAGAATCCCCACTAAATTACTGAGAAAAAACCCTACAGATCTCAGGCAAGCAAAGAAATCTTTCTGTCCTTGGTGCTGTGCCAGTGTTGAGGAGCAGACTGGGACCTTCCATGTATTGTGTTCTCAGGATCTGTAGGTGATAACTAAGCCTTCATAAAGCAGCATCAAAATCCATCAGGATATGACTTCTGGATCTCACTTTTGGTGCTGAGGCACCAAAATCTGGAGTTATCAGACCTTGATGCCAACGAGACTCCAAGAAGAGTCCCTCAAGAAGTTTCCAATCCTTCAACTCCCTGTTTCTCCTGAAACACGCAGCCAGTCTAGGGTGGGAAATGAACCAGCTTCAAATTAAGCCAGAATCAAGCTGGGTTTAGCTGACTCCAGCTCATCCTGGTGTTGTGCAGCAGGGTCAGCTCAGTGAGGGTGAAGGGTAACTCAGTTCAGGGTCACAGGGCTTCATCTCCTCTGCTGAGGGACAGGGGACCCAGCACGGGTTCCAAATTGTGTTTTCAGGGGCCAACATTGCAGGCAGCACAAACCCAACCCTTTTCTCAACCCTTTTTATTTCTAGCAAGGCAAAGGAGGAAAACAGACCTGACAAGGCACACCCTGAGTTTAGGTGTCAACACCTGCCTCGTAAATGTGCAATTGCCTTTCCAGCACAAGCAGAAGGATGAAATGAACACTCTTGACCAATCTCCATGGTTCCCAGGAAGGATTCCAGCAGGAGTTGGGGATGTTCCAGCTTCCCTGGGCTGTGTGTCCCGGGAAGCAGCGCTATGAGGCAATGCCCTGGGCTAGGAATGAATCCCAGCATGGCTGCTGGAAGCAAACAGTGCAGAAGGAATCATCTGAGATGCACATTGGCAGGCCTGAATCCCATTCCTGTCCTTTGGAAAATCACTGCATGTTAATGAAATAATGAATTTAAACTCCTTGCAAATGGCACTGTTGGTGTCGCGGGGAGGATTAGTGGTTTATTGAGAATAAATTCCATGTGTAGCCCATTTTTGTGCTGAGAAGATGGAAGTGAGAGGGCAGGGAAAGCAGGAGAGCAGGTGTGGAGATGTGCCTGACAAAAGCATCATTCTGTGGGACACAGGGAATGGCTCCCACTGCCAGAGGGCAGGGATGGGTGGGAGATTGGGAATTGGGAATTCCTGGCTGGGAGGGTGGGCAGGCCCTGGCACAGAGTGCCCAGAGCAGCTGTGGGTGCCCCTGGATCCCTGGAAGTGTCCAAGGCCAGGCTGGACAGGGCTTGGAGAAACTTGGGACAGTGGAAGATGTCCCTGCCTCTAATGTCCCTTCCAATCCAAACCACTCTGGAATTCCATTATCCTATTAAAAAAAAAAACCCACATTTTCTTTTTGTTGCTGTCATAGTCAGCAGGATTTCTGAAAGAATATAACTCTGAATGAAAACTACTAAGATGATCTTTTTGGTAATATTTAAATAAGTGCCTCAGTCTTTAGAAAGCGATTTTTTGAAAGCAGTTGTGACATTTCCCCCCAATTTTTGTTTGTTGGTTTTTTTTTTTTTAATTCCTCAAAATTATTTTATACCATACATTCTTCTCAACATTTACTGAGTGTCAAGCAAAGAGTAAGTCTGAAATGGAAAGCCATGGTGCTTTTAATTTTTTGCATTTTTTCTCCCAAAATAACCCAGAGCTGGACTGTTTTGGATGCATCATATTTCAGTTTCTGCCTTCACTCTTGTACATAAATCACCTTCTGAGGATAAAGCACCAACAACTCTCAGCCCAGCTCATTTCCAAGTGTTACCAACTCCTAAAAATTGTTTCGTTTTTACAGGATTTCTTTCAACTTTGTGTTTTATGGCACTGATTCTGGCTGAAGATACTTTCCTGTGTCCAGCTCTTGAAGAAGTGGCTCCTAATCCTTAATTTTCTGGTTTAGATCTGACAAATTTTATATTAATTCAACATTATATATATATATACTCTGATGTTATTCACAGTCTTAAAATTCACTGAATGAATTTGTGGTTTTATTATTTCACAGCACAAAACGGAGTAAGTCTGAGGGAGGAGAAAACTTTTTAAAAAGTTGGGTAAAAAGCAGTTATGGAAAGAAAGAAAATATATTGAAATATATTGAATTCCTCAGGAATTACCTTTCCCAGGATGAGTGTGCTGGCAGGAGGAATCTGCAGCAAAGCCTCGGATATTCCACAGACACTAAATTTTTGTAAATTTGTATGACTGGCTTCCGGGGAAAGATGATTCATTGTGCTCTCATCACCGTGCTCTGAATTGGGGATATTGATTTTTTTAATGGGATGCAGCTGCTCCTATTCAGGGACGAGAGAGAATGGACACTGCCAGCTGGGGAGCTTTGGAAATCTGCTCAGGTTGGGCTGGGATTCCTGGAAAAGATCTGGATCTGGTCCACACATGTCCCACCAGGATGGAAGCATGAACACGAAAAAGAAAAAATAGGAAAAGTGGACTAAAACAGAAGGAAACAAGAATAAATCTGATTTTCATTTGGGTAGTCCATTGTGGCAATGATACCAAGGAAAGCCTTTGATTATCAGTTTTTCTAAGGCTGCACTTGAATATTTTGAGGTCATGGGATCATAGAAAGGCTTGGGTTGGAAGGGACCTTAAAGATCCTCTTGTTCCAAGATTCTGAATTCAGGCTGAATTTCCATCCTGCTTTTGGCCCAGTTTGTCACTTGAGCCAGCCACATTGGGTTTGTGACAGTGCAAAGTTTGCCTAAAATTGTAAACTCGTGAATATCCATCTTTAAATGCAGTAATTCATATCCCACTGGGGCACTTTGGTGCTGTTTAAAAGCTCCTCACACTGAGAAAAGAAATCCTTTTCACTTACTTTGTGAGAGCTGCAAGAATTCTTGTTTTACCTTTTCATCTTCAAGTGGCAAGAAATATAATCTTCCATTTATTATCCCACTGATATTTTTTTTTCCCACAGTGGTGTTTAATACTATTTACTCTTGGGCAAGATAAATATCAGAGGAATATTAATCAATTCTATTGTAAATAACAGGGAATTCATGTTTTCCATTCACAAGCTGCTGAAGCCTCAGAATGACTGGGAATGTTTAAGAGCAATTAGCTGGGTTATTTTGATCCATTTTTTGACCACTTTGGATGTGGTGTTGATTTAAAAGAACTCGAGTTTGTGGATGCATTTGTACAATGGAATTAATCTCACTGAAGGGCATTGGTTTGCCTTTGGAATTGTTATTTAGGAATGAAGTGTTCTGAAGGCTCTCAAGCTGACAGATTAGGAGAAGCACAGGAAGAGCATGAAAAATAAAGACAAATTAATGTAATAAAAATAAAATGTGATCAGTCACAACATGCCAAGTGTGTGAACAAAGCTAAGGAGAGTTTTAATAAATGTGTAAAGAGGAGGTTGAGGCCACAGTCATGTCAAAACGACTTAAATGGAGAGATGTTACCATGGGATGGGATATTCCATTTTATTTCATAATCAGAAAGACAGAGAGAAAATAGACTTTAAAAAAGAAGTAAAGGAAGGGGAATTCCAACTCCATAAAAAAACCCATACAGGCCAGGATAATCTGGGAAGGAGACAGTGGCTCACAGGCGCAGGAAATAAAGAACTATCTGAAGCACAGGATGATAAGAGGAGAGTGTGAGTTACCCACAGCAAATAATTTACTCAGGAATTGATCAGCCTGAAAAGCTGGGATTGCCTCCTTTGGAAGCCCAGAGCTCCAGCAGGTCATTCCCTAGGGAAGATGCTGAGTGGGACCACCTAGAGGAGAAATTCCAAGCATTATTTCAGAAAATGGAATAATCCATACTTTATAAACCCATTTCCAGGCAAGTTGTGCAAGCAGGAATTTCCAGGACTAGGAGGCAATGCCAGGAGCATGAGTTGGCACCACTGGATGCTGAAATTGTGGAATTCCATGTGTGAGGCCATGCCAGAGACAGCAGCTGGCTTCTCCTGAGCCCACA